TTGAATTGCTATTAATAATACACCTTGAACCAAATATAGGTGATTACGTGTTGTCAAAGTTAATAAAAATTGCTTTTCAACCTGCCCACTTCTTTTATTAGCCTAACTCACTCAGAGCCTTTGTATGTAAGTGTGACACTTCTACTACAACATTGATATGTGACATTGTAAGCTTAAATTTTCATAACACTATGTGGTTTTTCTATATTAACACTAATCCTTCTGAGATTTGGTGCCTGAAATAATTTAAATTTGTAATATAACACTTTCTCCAAGAGAGAAATTAAAAACTGGCAAATTACCATTTAAGATCATCTGATAGATTTGCAGTCAGTTGAATATTCTTAGCAAGTATTATTAGATGTTTTGACTCACTATGTTATCATTAGTGACCTTGGATAAAAAAATACATTGCTTTCTTAGTCTGTTACTTCTTAACATTGCCAGTGCTTATAATATTGGTTGAATCATAACAGCTTAATACAAGTCAGGTCATCTTAAAATAGTGCACAATTTATATTAGCCTTTTTTGTTTTAATTCCTCATAGCTGAACAAAATTTTATTTTAAAATGAATAGGAGACTTATTCGAACTTTCAAAACAAACAAGAGCATTTCAATTTAGGTGCCTTAGCACTAGAGTAGTATTTTTTTTTTAATTTTGATCATGTGGTGGGCAGAATTCTGACAGCCTCTCATTTCCACCCTATAGTGTAGGTTCCCACATCAGCCCCAGGTCTTTGCTGTCTTAGTGGCTTCTGTGATCAGAACAGGCTCTTCTGGCACACATGCCAATCTGAAAGGCAGATTGTGAGAGGAGGACTGGGCCATGTGAAGTGAGCCAATGTAGGGAAGTTAGTTCATCCTTAGGTCTGAATCTCAAGATAGGTTATGAGGGAAGCGGTTTAGCTCTGTAGCTGGCTTTGGGAATAGAAGAGGTCATGTGGCAAATGTACAGCCTCCAGGGGCTTAGAGTAGATTTCAGCTGTCAGCCATCAAGAAAATGAGGACCATGGTTCCAAAGCTGTTAGCAGTTGAACTCTGGGGATAACCTGGAAGAGCTTGGAAGCAGCTGTTGCTTTTTCGCATGTGCTTTAAATATTAAGGCAGTTATGTATATACATTCATGTGGAACAAGAAAATAGGGTGCTCTATAAGCCAATTCAACATATGCAGACAATTAGAACAACGTTTTTTGTTATTAAAAAAGGGGGATGTTATTTGATGATGAATGTATTGTCAGCAACATGCTGTGGAATGACAATCTTCTAGGATAAGGATCTGTCCTCACGCTGCCTAGGGGTGCTCTCCTAAGACAGCCTACACCTTTCCCTCTGCCTTCCAGTTACTGTTTCCTTACAGATCAGTGAGGAGATACACTGGCATGGGTCTAGATGCTGCCACTGTGCCTTGCAGACTCACTGCAGCATGGCCTTCACCTTGACGCTCCAAAGGATAACTTGAATTTTAGATAACCCTCAATGCCTCATTCTCAGTCAACCTTGAAAACACAACATTCTCCCACTTTTGGGAGAGCAGTGCTATGCTTTTGGTGATGAGGTTGATTCATTTGTGGATATTTTTTTCTCTATGAGTTTGATCACCAAATATTATCTTCAACCACCACAATGCTGGCCCTTATAGTCTCTTTCAAGGGAACAATTAAGAGTAGTGATTTCATCTGTAAAAATGTGATGAAACCATTTAGAATAACTCCACTATAGGCCTTGTGTTGTTTCTAATGCTATTTTAGTAACAGAAATGTGAACTTCTTAGATTGGTAGAGAAAATAATATTTTGGCTTGATATTGGCCTTTAGAAGTAATTGACATGGAATTATCACTCTGTTGGATATGATAAAAACACAAAAGGAAGCTGTAAGAGCTGTAATTGTGTAGTCAGGCAGATGTTCTTATGTTCAGGACATAAGGGACAGGACAGGGTTTCATGAAGAAAAATGAAGAACAGATGAAAAGCCCAAAAAAGGGAAAATGAATGTCTAAGGAAGGCCAGTAACTCTCAGGGGACATGACACCGCTGATGAACTGGAATATTCCAGTTCCTGCTGCAGCACTTACTGCTTCATTCCTTCCACATCAAGAGCTTGCATCTAAATTTGTTCAGTTTATTATTTCTCTGAGCTGTCACCCTCCCCCACTTTTCCATCTGTCTTCTGTCTTTCCCTTTCCTTCTCTTCCCTTGAACCCTCCTCATTTCCTCTCATCTTTTCATTTTTTTCCTATTGTCCTTTCTCTTTCCTTCCCTCTCCTCCTCCATTTTAATTTTTCCTCTCTTCTCCCCCCTTAGCTTTTCTCTTTATCCTTTTTGTGCCTTTCTCTCTTTCCATCCCATTTCTTCTGTCTTGAACATTTATTATTCTACATGCTCAAAGAAATGCAATGCAGCACGGCATAGCACCTATTATTAACCTCATGTTAATAAATGCATGTTTTCTGTGTGAATATTAGTTTATAAAATTTGAAGTTGGTCACAACACTATTGATTTGAAAATGCTTCAAAAGAAAATGTGACATATTGTGCTTCTCTTATGTAAAATAAAAATGAAGTTCATTTTTTCTCTCTCTTCCTGTGTCATTGCCTTTCCTACACACACACACATACAAACTCAGATAGTAGATGGCAAAAACTTCCCTAGATATTCTTAGATTTTTTTTTCATCTGAGCAACTGCAGAAAGAAAGTTTTTCTCCTCAGCAGATTTTTGTATTAATGATTAATATACTGAGAAATTAATATTAGTTTATGAGTTTAATAGCCAATGTTGCTAGATTTGTACCTATATTCTACCTTTATCCAACATTAAGTAATATATGTTTATAAGTATATATGTTTAATTTTAAACAAATGCTTTATATTTGTGTGTATATTGACCTTCATGCCATTTTTTACATTTTCAATTTATTCTAAAACCCAAGCATAAACTGTTAAAAATGTTATTTGACTGCAAATTATTTCATTTTATGAAGATTTATTTATTTTCACTGGAAAGGCAATTCTACAGAGAGCAGGAGATGCAGCGAGAAAGATTCTCTGTCTGCTGACTCAAGTGGCCCAATGGCCCAAACTGAACTGATCCAAAGCCAGGAGCTAGGAACTTCCTCGGTGTCTCCCGCCTGGGTGCAGGTTCCTAATGCTTTGGGCCATCCTCTACTGGTTTCTCAGGCCATAAGCAGGATGCTGGATGGGAAGTGAAGCATCTGGGACAATAACTGGTGCCCATATGAGATCCTGGCACATGCACGGCAAGGATTTAGCTACTATCTATTGCACCTAGCCCTATCAAGTTTTTTTAATACTGCATATTTGCACATATCTATCTATCTATCTATCTATCTATCTATCTATCTATCTATGTGTTTTATGTGTTTGAATGCATGTTTACAATACAGTCAACAAAGCTCTATATCAATTCCATATTTATACACAAATTATGCATGAATATATATTGAGAACCATATGTATATGGGAATACCATGTACACAGTATGTGGGACATTACAGCCCCTGTTGTTTCTAGTTTCATTTCCTCTGTACCAACTTGTGATTTTTTGTTGATGAACCTGCACAGTAGAACTGGGCCAAAGAACATTGATACGACTACCAAACTGCAAATGGTCTGTTACCCAATTTAGAGCTAAATGTATTCTACAGATAGTGTTATTTACTCAGTTGGGATTGCATGTCATCTATTTGTGGTCTAGTGGGCAATTTTGACTCCTAATGACTGACAAATGGTACAAGCGATAGTGTTGGATCTGTCATAAAGACACAAAAAAAGTGTTCAGCTTGGAGTTAAAAGGCACATTTTGTCATGGCTTGCAGCTTTTTCTAGGTAAATTAAAACTGCGTTAAAGTTCAACAAACCATAAGAACTTGGTTCAGGCTTCCAACATTATTAGGGGTATCCTAAGCATCACTTAAACTTGGGAACATTGATCTTGTAAGGGCAGCAGTGTCAGGATCTAAGGGACTTGAGATGAAGTATGATTTGAGCAGTGTACTTTCCAACAGATTTTGTTGAAATGCCTCCTAAAATATTGAATGATGAAGTTTTCCTGGGGTGCTGCTTTTCCATTTATTACCTAAGCACACCCTGCAATACTCTCCAATTCAACATAGTGTGCTTCTTTGTTGTTCTGTGTACATGTAAATTGCTTATCTCGTTTTTAATTCAAATCTCATCATAGTAGGAGTAAAACTTTTTTGTTGTTGTTTTGGTTAAAAACAAAACAACAACAAAAAAGTTTTACTTTAAACAATTTTCGAAGGGCTTATTTTTCTTTTTCATTTGAAACATTTTCTTAGCTCTAGGCTTGCTAACTGTTGATTGGCATCAAAGTAGCTGGAGGCAAGAAAGAGTAGCAGTTTGATAATCTCTTGAGGTGATTCTGAAGCATACAGAGTATTCACCATTCAACAGAAGATAGGTATCCTCTCATCACATAAGGAATTGGTATTTGACTGAGACAAATCATATGAAGAGTTACTTCTGAAGATTTGCTATCTGACACTTCTCACCCCTAAATGAAAATTAATTTTCAAATGCATTGAGGGCCAACAATTCTCAAGTGGTAATCATATAGTATAAGGAGTAAGGATTTGGGTCCTCATTCAGTGAATAATTGTTTATGAAGCACACATTAAACTAGGTCCTCTGTTTTGATGCTGCCTGTTCCCTTGAGTGTTGCATGAGGGCTCTTTTTTGAGGAGGTTAAAGGTGATTCTCTTGAATTCCAGATAGCTCTGTGCTTGACAAGGAGATGACAGGGTGGGGATTCAGGCAGCTCAGCCTACTTAGGGAAATCAGGAAGTTTAAGCACCATAAAATAACAGCTTTATGGCACAGCATAGGGTGTCATACAAGGTTCCTTCATTAATGATTAGACAGGGTTTGCCATGCCACCAAATGAAAAGAAAATTTAAAAGTTTCTGTACTGTTTTGGACCTCAGTGTCACATTGGAAATGTTTGTTTCCTCCATAGGTTCGAACCTGCGCCCTCCCTGAAGATAAGGACCCCCCTGTGGAAATTGGGGTAAGTGTTTTCGATGTTTTCCTGAAAGGTAGACACATCCTATCTAAGGAAATTCTTTACATTGTCTCTGGACTTCTGCCTGGGAACTGGTACATGAAATTGAGTTAAATTAACAAGGTGTGACTGTTCAAGGAAGTGCTGTCATATCGTTGCTGAATCATGTAGAATTTGTTTCTTGTCTCATGAAAATCACTCTCCAGTGAATTCATATTTGGTTCAACTGGCTAGACCTGAGTGTGGAAGCTGCCCTGCAGGTAACTGAAATGCCATTCAGAGTCAGCATTCCCAGCCCAGTAGGTAGCTGGGGAAATTAGAGATGTGAGCTCCAGTGCTATGGGAAGGAGGCAGAGAATCAGCCAGAGGACTGTGAGGTTTTCTGCTTCCTAACACTTAAACACAATTGCAGATGGAAAGAGAGATGTGGCCAATAATCAGAGGGTATTAGAGTATCCTGCTGCATCTCTAGCTTCAGAAGGGGGAAGAAGAATAGAGTACTTAGTAACTTTCTAGACAGGCCTTCAGGTGCAGACAGTAGCACCTGATAAGACAGAGCTCAATGGGATCAGATTCTACCATCTGTACTTTCAGAGAGCAGGGAGAAGTTCAGGAGTTGGGTGTAAGAGGCCTTGTGCCTGGGTTCATTGAAAAGCCTGTTTGAAATAGCCACACATCATCCAGGCACTTGAGAACCATCTTTCAATGTGTGGAGCACTGGACTGTGCATCATTTGTTTTCTCCTTGACAACAACAACTACCACTTCCCAACCCTCAAGTAAAGACTCCAAAGTTTTGTACCGGTGTGTTGGTTAGGTTCACTAGGCAGAGAACCAGTTATGCTTCCGTTAGTGAAGGAGCAGAAGCAAAAATATTTGATGTGCCTGTTCCCTCATGCCTAACACAGACTCTGTTTCATTCTGCTTTGTTTTCTGCCTGCTAATTCAGCCTCTTGTGCCATTCTTACATCCTCCATACATCTGTTCTCAGACAACCTGGTGTTTGATTGCTTCCTCCCAAGATAAAGAGTGGTCTCTACCCAGCCTCAGGCCTTCTTAACCAAGGACACAAGACAATGCTCTCCTGGGCTTCTTCTGCACACCAGCTCCCTCTCACTGCCCAGGCTCACCTGTGTGCCTCTTGCAGATGATAACCCCCCAGGTCCCTGCTTCAACATACACCTGCCCTTCCTTACTGCATACACTTCTTGATACAATTATATCCTCTTCGTCAACTTTAAAATGATTGGACATTATTAACTATTAATATGACTAGCATGTCAATTAATCAAGAGCTTAATTTTGTTTATTGAGATTCCACAATGGTGAATTGATTTAGCTTTTTTTTTCTCCTCTGTTGACTTTCCCAGTTATCCTTGAATTGGGATCTCTTGCTTGACAGTTTAATTACATCTTAGCACAAGTTTGTTAGTCTCTCTCTTGTGTTTTTTCTTTAACTCGAGTCATTGGAAATTTATTTTATTTACTGAATATCTTTTCCCTGATTTCACTTTTTTCTACCCTTCCTTTCATGGTTTCTCAGCACAGACCATGAGATTTTGGCACTCCTATGGAGCACAAAAGTAGGTATTTGTGAAGCCTACTGTGCTCTTCTCTACTGTTTCTTTTTCTTTTTCTTTTTTTTTTAAGATTTATTTATTTATTGGAAAGTCAGATATACAGAGAGGAGAGACAGAGAGGAAGATCTTCCCTCCAATGATTCACTCCCCAAGTGAGAGCAACGGCCGATGCTGCGACAATCCAAAGCCAGGATCCAGGAAATTCTTGCGGGTATCCTACATGGGTGCAGGGTTCCAAGGCTTTGGTGGGCTATCCTCTACTGCTTTCCCAGGCCACAAGCAGGGAGCTGGATGGGAAGTGGAGCTGCCGGGATTAGAACTGGCACCCATATGGGATCCTGGTGCGTCCAAGGTGAAGACTTTAGCTGCTAGACCACGCCGCCGGGCCCATCTACTGTTTCTTTACTAGACAAAAGGTCAACTCCCTCCTTTTCCCGTTTCCTCCACACTTCTTCTGATTCACCCCTTTTAAAAAATTTATTAATATTATTATTTTATGATACAGTTCCATAGGCTGCAGGATTTCCCTCCTTCCTGTCTTCCCCCTCTACTGATCTCCCCTATATTATTACAGTAGTATAGTCCTTATGAACAGTCATAAATCCATCAATCTGCTGTTTAAGTCTATCCTGATATTGTAGGTATGGACAATGGCAGAGAGTACAGCATCCTATTGTCAAGATATATTTAACAGTTTCATTGGGAGTCCATCTTTAATTTAGAAGTAGAGATACATAATGCGTTGTATCCTCACATTTGGATATGATAGTCTGTATCCCACAGTTAATATATATCCCCTTAAGTAAAAAGCCATAAAACAAAATTAAAAACAGGAGTAAAAATTAAAAAAAACGTGTTATTTAACTTCATGTTGTTGTAAATTTTCTATTGTCTTGACCTACTCTTCACACACATGATATTATATCAGATGTTTGCTGTATTGCTCACTTGACCCGTGTAAGGTAGACTTGTGTTTACCATGCCCTACAGATACAACATAGGCTTTCCCAATAGTGTTTCATCTCTCATCTCAGTGCTCAGTACTTATCCTCTTTATGAACCCCGGCTGCATCAGGCAGTAATATGAATTATTGCTGTTGTTGTCATCATCATAGCATTAATTGTTGTATTATGGGATAGGCAGGCAGCTAGCTAGGTCTGTTGAACAATAAGTTATGGGTCCTCACATGATTTTCTCTTCTACATCCCCTCATATCAATTGACATGCGACTTTTCCTGAAATGAATCTGCTTTACGCAGAATTTAAAGCATGCCAAAAAAATATGGATATTGAATTCCATGTGGTCTTGTGGAGGTGCGTATAATTTCCAAGAGGCTCCCTGTTTGGAGACACCATGGTCAGCCTCATGAAGAAGGCCCACTAGGAAGGGTTGTCTGTCTGTCTCCTTTCCTCCACTCCAAATCATTCTGCCTTGGGGCAAATCTGCTGTCTCACCACAGATATTTCTCTGTGAGGCAAATCATGCCTAATTGTGTTTGTTCACTTTTTCAGCTTTTTATTAAGTTTTATTACCTGTGAAGCTTATTTGTATCAGTACAGAATGCTTGTCTATGACAAGAGCCTGGAGTAAAATATTTAATATGCCTTCATTAACATCAATAATAAATGATAGACCACAGTTCTCAAAGGAAAGATAATCACCCTTCCATGATGGAGATAGATGTGATTTGAACTACAGGATGAGAAGTTACTTGGGGTCATCGCATTGGTCCAACTGGCTAACCTCAGTCTGTAAGCTCTGGCATCCTATGTGGGTGCCAGTACCTGTCCTTGCTGTGCACTTCCTGTTCAGCTCTCTGGTTGTGGCCTGGGAAAGCAGTAGAGGATGACCCAAAGCTTTTGGGGCCCTCGACCTATGCGGGAGACTTGAAAGAAGATCTTAGCTCCCGGCTTTGGATTGGCTGAGCTCTGGCAGTTGTAGACATTTGGGAAGTGAATCAGCAGATGAAATATCTTTTTCTCTGTGTCTCCTTCTTTCTGTAAATGTGCCTTCCCAATAAAATAAACAAATCTCCAAGATGAGAAGTAACATCAGACTTTTTACCTTTGGGACTAGAAATGTAATCCTGGGGGAAAATTAAGAGATAACATTCTTATCTCCAAAATAACACATCTCAAACATGTTGACTTTCCTTCTTTTAGTTTTCTTTTTGTATCAGCCAGGTGCGTTGTGGTTATCCAAAGGCAAGAGTTGATAACATGGCCCGTTATTAAGTGTTGTAATGAGGTTTCTGGCCCAAAATTCAAGGGGTGCATTTGCTATATTATGTCCTCTGCTTAGGTAAGAACTCAGCTATACTTCTGGACTCAAAGAAAATTCTCAATGGACAATTTGTAATATGCTTATTGTATCAATTAGGCATTCATCTGGAGGCAAGTAACTTGACAAATTGTGGTTTAAAATGAATGAGTGAGGTCTCTCCGATGGTATTTGGACCTTTGGAGAAGTGATCCAAGCCTGTGGTTACTGACATAAATGAAAGTAGTCAGATTTTATTCATCATCCTGTTCTGCTTTTCAAAAGTATTGTCCTTTGTAGCAAATGTACCTCCAATATTACATTCTGGATAAAGATAAGAATAAAGGTATAAAAGCTCTTACTGCTGACACTGTTGCTACCAATGTACAACAACTTTCTGAGAAATTTAAGTTTCTGTGTTGTAACTTACATATGTCTGGGAAAATTTGATTCCCTAACTAGAGAGGATTCTGGATAAAATTCCAAGTTTTAAAATTGAATTACTCTGTTCAAAATGGAATGTGGGCTGTTTTGTCCCTATACTTCTGCTCAATGTCAGTATCTATAACAGCAAGTCTTTATTTTGTTCACTCTTAATGTCTCTAAGATTCACATTATGGAAATATCTATTCAGTGTGTTCATTGAATGAATAAGGAGGCATGCTATGATTGTGATTTGCAAATCACTTTTTTTTCTTCTTTTTAGGACCATAACACACATACTCAAAAATCTGCTACACATGTCCAGAAAATTTTTGGAAATTAATATGGCAAAAATCCACATTTAATACCTTGCAGAATTCAGTAAAATGGCAGTTGTGATTATTATAGAAGCAAATCTCAAACAGTTTTTAAGAAGTAAATATCAACAATTGGCCTGATGAGAGGAAATCAGTATCCCTTAGCTTTTGAAACCCTCAGAGTATAGTCTAATTTGTTTTTTTCTTGCTTGCATATTTTTTCAATGGTAATAGTTCATGTATTTTCCCCTTGCTTATAGGTTGGGCAGCCACACTATTGTATCTGATATGGTTGACAAAAAAGTTCTTGAGTATGAAAAAGGTCCTGAATACTTAAGTCATGAGATATTACGTGCCAGCCTTATGCTATCAACTTCAGTTCTTCTAGTAACCCTAAAGCATACACCAAGTTTCCTTTACTTAAACATATAGTTTAATGAGAATAGGTTAAAGCATTTTTAATATAGTCATTTAAACTCTAAACCATCAGAGACCAATAGAAATATTATAGGGGAGGTAAAATGTGTATTACATGTGTAATCTTAAATTTTCTGATAGTTAAGCTTTCAAAAATTGGAAAGAAATGGGATTGGTTGATTTTAATATGTTTAACTTAATCTAATGCATAAAACATTATTTCAGAATATAACATGTAAACATGTGTGTTTCAGCTTCCATTTCCATACTATGTCACCCATATTCAGAGTGTATTTTATATTTAAAAGGGGCTAGATTTTATATACTCAAGGCAGTTAATTTCCATGGAGTAGCACAGCTTTGGAAAGTGTTCAGAGGAGTTTATAGTGTCATGAAAATTGTGGTTAAAAAAGAAACCAGCTTATATTTTGAGTAAAGCCTTTGTGAGTTGAATGTGGATAATGGAGATTTGGCAATGTGCATGAGGCTGCATTTTCTTCTACTCTTTTTGGGTGACTGTGTTGCCACTTAAGGACCTTCTCACGAAGCTGTCCTTAGTGTCCTGGTGAGCAACTTGAGTGTCTGGACTTGCTCAGAGTCTTGCAGAGGCTGGCTGGATAGCCTGCTTGTTTGTGTCCTCCCCACTGAGATTCTGACAGATACTTCCACTGTTCTGCATCGTTTTTGACATTACTATCCAGCCAGGTGAGTGAGTAAAGTCATGCATCAAGCAGTTTAATGATCACCTTCTTTAGGGTTTGTGCACCAGAATGATAATTATGAGTGTTGCACTGTCATGACCAGGTACAAAAGGTTGGAGCCACATGTTTTGCAGGTCGAGAGCCTGTCAGAAAGAAAGGAATTGCCACCTGCCCTGGCTATGAGACACAGAATGATAGGGGCTGACAGAGAAGCATGCTACTAGGGCTCTAAGCTGGACTCTGCATATTATTAGCTACTTCTGTGCTTAAGCTTGGACTCCTGTGGGTCCCAGCTCCTTCATGTATCCACTGATCTTAACAAGCCAAGGTGTCTTTTAAACATGCTTAAGCATAAGCTAGTTAACTTCTACGGGTCCCAGCTTCTTTGTATACCCACTGATCTGATCTTGATAACCCTGGGATTCTTTTAAACATAACCCAAGAAGATACTTGAGTTAGAAATGTCATAGGCCAGTTTCTCAAATTAGCTGTGTATGTCTTAGGGCACTTATATTTATTATTGATCTTTTATCTAGACTGTTTTCCTTAATGTATTTCACCTGAATCTAAATTTTTTACTTTTAAGCATGTAAATACATGAATTTGTGAATTATAGGCATTACTCAAAGACTTTTTTTCCTTCTTCCTACTGTGACTATTCGGGGATATTTAGGTAACGTTCTTTACTTTTTTTTTCTAAAGAATCTGAATTATGGTATGTTTTCTTAATCACTAAGCTAATACTTTTGACGTTTTTCTTATTTCCTGGTACCTTACTAAAGTGTTTTGCCAGGATTTTTTTCAAGTTTCATGTACAACAGAGTACACATTTCCTTCTAACTTACTTATGTAAAGTGGAGACTATGCAGATTTTTGCTTTCAGGCTAAAACTAGGGCCACCTGTAGTGTAATAACCTACATTAGACCACAGACCTTCTCAGAAGAAGACTTAAAAATGAGTCTTGCATATGCCTATTGTGGAGAGCAGCCAAGTTTCCAGTGAACGCGTTTATTTGCCCAGATTTTCAGTGTTGGGGAGAATAGCTGCTTGAGATCCACACTGCAGACATTCAGACTCTACTTGTGAGGATTTACATTTTGTAATCTGTAGATTTTTTCCCCCATTAGTAACAGCACCAAAGGAGAAATGGGAAACAGTGCCTCTAGAATGATATCTGAAAGACAAAAACAAATTTCAAAGAAATTCAGATTGTGTGACTGTGATGATAGTACAACAGAAAAGATAAAATTGTTTTATACAACTTAGTGTTTAGGGGAGACTGTTTTCTCGATAATTGATTCTCTTACCACGTGGCCAGTATGTATGCTTACTGATGGATGATTAATTTTCTAACTTTGGGGATGAAAGGGATCCTAGATTTATTTACACACTGGTGACACAAACAAATATCTAAACTGACAAAGCAAATGTATAGGCACTTTGATGTTGAAGTGTGAAGCAAGTATGCACTCTCTGAGGTTTTTGTAGTTTGTTTTATTGCATCTTAGGCAGCATGTAGTTCCAATACAGAGTCATTTTCAAGATAAATAATATTCATGTGTGAAAAATAGCACCTCCGTTTTGACAGACTGTTAGAATACTTGGATGCCATTGTAAGCTTTGAATTGGAACAGATTATTATTTTTGCAAGCTCTTCTTTTGGTCTTGAGATCAGGCTGTGTCTGATATAGGCAGTGGACCTTGGGCATGGTGCTTGGCTAGGTGCCCTCATGTGAGGTGAGTGGATGTGCCACACCAGCCCCTCTGCTCCAGACACTCTGCCTGCCTGGGATAGAGGGAGACTATGGTTCTGCTTCCACAGCAGCTCCCGATCTAGTGGACAGAAGAAACACTGAATGACTTATGGTCATAAATTTTACTTGCAGCTGTACCTTATGGTGTGTCTTCAGCTTATTCCTAAAAATAGCCATTCCACCTGTCTCTTGTTACATTTCAATCTGGGATATTTGCTGCTTTTTTTTCTTTCTGAAAATATCACAATGATGACATGTGTCTTTTATTTTGTTCATTCTAAAAGTGTTCATGTCTACAAAATCACAGGAGTCAAATAAAAAAGTAACTTTACATCCTTTTACATAATGCAATTTCTGATGAGTTAAGGATTTTGTTTGAGTCCAAATAATGAATGAGTAATAGGCATTTGAATCAAAGCCCTGATTATCAGTGAAGGAAGATGTGGGATAGACATATATAATGAAATTCATGAAGACAATATACAGTCTGTTGTATATTGTATATTCAATGTTGCACTGATTCCCCCCAACTTGATAAGTGACAGTAGTTTAAAGCTTCTGAAGCAAGGAGAATTTCTTGCATTTGTGATAGAATAGCATAAAAAGATATTTCTGTAACATTCATTCACTTTTTGAGGGTAAATAATTGCATGCACGCCTACTATGTGCTGAATAGTGTGTGTATAGTGATAATCAAAACACAGCTCTTGTAGTGTTTTAAAATTTCAAGTGTTTTCTTGTAAGAAAAAGAAGGAACAAACATATGTCAAGTGATGGTCAGGGCCAATGGAGGAAAATGGCTGGAGAACAGCAGTATATATTTGTCAAGAGGACTATTGCTTCTCTGCTTCTCTAGAAGGTGGCTCTGACGAGACGACAGACAGCTATGGATTTTGCTCTGTCTGTTGAAGATAAGTCAGTTTGATTTCTGTATTTTATGTTGCTGTGGCTCCCAGATGGCTGGCAAACCTATTGCCAAAACTTGTTTCTGTAAACCTTCTATTTTTGCCTCATGTTTTTTTCTCAACTAATGATGTCATATCATATTTTTTTAGATTTGAGTGACTTGGCATCTAAAATAAAACTTTGAATTTTGAAATTAATTAATTGGGTTTTCCAGTCACAGCCTATGGATGTCGCCAACATTTGAACTAATTTCTGTTTTCAAATGGTTTTCTTTAGGCCTTTTGTTACCACCTTTTCTGAGAATTTTCAAAAGAGGAGTAGAAATTCAGACGAAAAAACTCTCCTGTGTTAAGCAATTGCTGAGTGTAAATGAAGACTTATCTGTGGCAGAGCTTACTAGTTTTCTGTAAAAAAAAAAAATTCAATTGGCTTCACACACTTAAGTTCAAGCTCTAATTCAAGTGCAGCCCAACAATAGACCATACTGAAAGAATATTCTGAAAAAATAGATCTATCTCTTATAAAGCCCTATACTGTCAGGTTCCAATGGCATTGGGATTAATATGGATTTCATATTGTCATGTTTACTCCTTGACCTTGAAGAAAAAAATGGGAAATCCTATTTGTGATATTTATACCATAATAATGTGCTTTTTGAATTAGTACTAGACATGGATATTAAAAAGAGATGAAAGATTTTTTTTTTTATCCTGGGGTAAAAAACACAATTTAGGGTTTTATTCCTTATATTGAGTTAAAGCATAGAAACACCCAGTATGAAAGGTATGAAACACAATTTTGAAAAATGTAATTGAAGAAATCGCATTCTGTTTTTGTGTTGTGGAATGAAATTCTCCTATGCTGGTAAGGAAATAACAAAGGAAACAAATGGTTTTAAATGATACTGTGATGGGGGGAGAAATATGGCATTTCTATTTATAACTTGTGCAGAGTTCCACATAAAAATAGCTTCAAGTCACAGATTTGTTCATATCTGGAATAACAAGTCGTTGCTGTCGGTGACTTGAGGAAGGTTAATAAGGAGAGCAGTATTGGTAAATATTGAGAATTTATCATCTTTCCTTTTACTCTGCTTTTCAAAAGGTCAGAAAATTGAAGTTAGTGGAAAAGCTTTGGGTTCCTTGTTAGTTTCCAGGCTGTTGGTCTCTTGGTTTTCACTTGTGCACGCACACGCACACACACACACACACACACACACAAGCTTATGCGTTTTTGCCTTCAGCCGCTGCCCTGTGGTGGATATGCAGTTGATAATTGTATCTCTGTCAGTGAAATATTTTTCAGGCCAATAGATTCGTATTTCATTCTTCTAAATTCTAATTATGTGTGGTTGGTGTAATGGCAAAAATGTTAAGAACCACAGTTAACCCTGTTTGTCTCATTTTCAGAGGAGCTTCTTGGGCTATGCCAGTTTTAAAGTCGGGGAGCTACTGAAGTCAAAGGAGCAGCTGCTGTCCCTGAGCCTGAGGTGGGTCCCTCTGTTTGCAAGAACATGCTTAAAGTTAGTAACTGACTCTGTTTACTGATGGCTGGCTACATTTGAAAGGTATGATTCTTGAAGATATTACGTGTCAGCACTCAAACAGCTCGCGTCTCTGCTACAACAAGTTGTAGTGAAACAATTATTCAGGTTTACATCGAACTCATTTCAGGTTGTGAAAGGTTATTAGTTCTTATTGAAAAGAAGTTATCACAATGTTATTAGAATGGTAAAATGAGTTGAAAGTAAGGAAAGCAATATCAAATGTGATCATATTATTGAAAGGTTTTTCTGTTGTTTATCAAAATCCTATGTTTTCAATCAAGTAGGTTTCTAGGTTTCAAATATATTTTTTATAGGTTAACTTTGTAGCTTTATTCTACTGCTATTCTATTAAGCATAAATACTTAGAAATTAAAAGAGTCATTGAAACATGATTGTGAGCATGAATCAAATTTTCTTTGGCATAGGAAACAAAAATCCTTAGAAAAGTGTGGAATATTTTACTGTCAAAGTTATTAAATATGATGAATATTTTAAAAATTTATTGCGAATTTGAAACCAGGAGTCAGTTCCTTTCTAATTGTGCAATGATGTATAATTCTGTGTGAATAGATAATACTTTCTTAAGCCAGTATTATACTAACAAATATAAAAATTGTATAACATGCGATTTATTTATTATATATAGTATCCTGTTTTGGTAAAAGCTTGAAAGTGAATTCCAGGGAACAGGCCATCTCTTAAGCTTGTTTGTCCCTGTTTCTTCAACAACCCTCCTACAACCAACATCTCATTTCAATAAGGGGCAATTATGCCGGATGACTTCTCTTTTTTTTTTTCTTTTTTTTTTTGTCACTTGTCCTTATCCTTCAAGGTTTGCAGATTGACTTGATGGTATAATCTAATTTAAAAATCATACTCAAAAGGAAAGCAATAAGTGTCTGTGACATTTGTTGCTGCCATCTTCTTGTGACCTTTGTTTTTAATGTGCAATTTTTAAATTGTGTTATGATTTTTCACTTTGAAGTTCACGGTGCTAGCTTGAAAGGCTGGCTATCAACATCACTGAAACCGTAGAAAATGCCCTAGCATGATCTTTGGATTTGATCTGCCACTGGATTTGTGATAGGAAAAGTCAAACATTAACTTAGAACTGCCAACCATGTGTCTGCTTTCTAAATCACATGCATAGCAGCTCGATTCAACCTGCTGATTCTGAAATCACAATATTGATGGTATCAACCATCGGTAACATTAGCAGCATACTATGCCAAACACCAGTAGTTAATGATTTGAACCAAAAGTCAGAGTTAACAAAAGTTCTTCATAGAATGGCCGTTAGGGAACATACACTGTATCTGCAGGGATAAGAACAGAAATGCCAAGTTTAAAGTACTTCTCTTGGAAGACAAAAGAGATTTAAAAAGTAGAGATACAAACTAAAGCAAATCAGATTTCCGTTTTTGATGTTAACACTGCTGAGTGCCAGTCAGCTCATTTTGTGTGAAAGGAAAATAAGTCACTACATAGAACTGATTTTTCTAGAAAAAATAAATTCATAAAACCCGTTTGAAATATATGTGTGTGTGTGTGTGTGTGTGTGTGTGTGTGTGTGTGTGTGTGTGTGTGTGTGTGTGTGTGTGTGTTTGGCTATTCTTAGCCAAATCAGTGGGCTTTTTTCTAGTGAACCAGACTGAACATGCAGTCATCATTGTCTCGGTTTCCTATATGTGACTTTTTTTCTTATTCATATTATAATTCTTGTTATTTCCACTGCCTCTGTCTCTGAGGTACTGAATTTAAAGCACGTTATGTCAGAGGAAAGCAGCACTTTTGGCTGGCTGTTTGTTTTTTTAATATCTTCTTGCACTGATTATTTATGACTGTATTCCTTTGATTTGCCAGTCATTCAGGTAGGAAGTATCATCATGCTCTTACAACTGTATACGTGAGCTTTTTTACCTTGATATAATTCATAAGCAAAAACTGAATGAAGTCATTGAAATGAAGGCGTGTTTATACATGCCATTTGTGGATGCTTCTGGTGAAGTGCCTTTTGTTCCCGTTGTGTTTTCACTGCCTGGGACTCACAGTTGTGCTGTTTGTAGTTCCTGTGGGTGTTCTCATAGTCTGTCTTCCAGATCCCTCGACTCTCAACAGAGTTCTAGGAACACCATGCTTTAATCTGGTGGTTGTATCATATGTGCTTCGAACCAGGCATTAAGTACAGTGGGTTTATTTTCCCTTACAGATCATTTAAAGCAAGAAAAATATACATCTAATTTGCATACAATTCAAGTTTTGTGAAACAATAATATATATATTATTGTCTCATAAAGTAACGCTTGTTTGCGTGCTTTTAGGAAAATGTCCCTAGTAACTGATGTGGTTCTTGTATATGTTGTTTTCATTTAAACGTATTGTTTACAATGTTTTTCAGTGTGCTGGTGTCTCATAAGGACTTTATACCTTTATTTTGGACTTCAGTCTTTACTATTATGATCTATTTTGTTTCGTTATTGCACATTTGGTAATTCCTGTCTCTTCTGACATTTTTTTCAATATATAAATTGTATGTTCTGGTTTTGTTCTTTAGATCATTGCAGTGTAGTACTGCTGCACATTGTAAATATAGATTTTTTATATAAAAGATAATAGTTGTAGGCATGTAAGACACTAGCTAATCCTTTCAAGTGGTGATTGGATGATAATAGGAAGAATGAGAAGAAGAGGAGAAAAAATAGCATGTGCTTTCTGTAGTTAAATGTACTAGTACTATCTCACTGACCTTATCAAACTAGCTTCTCATGTTGTTTCTTACTCTGTTTCATAAATTAAGAAACTGAGATACAGAAATGAGTTGAATGAGTTATGTAACACTGCTACCTTAGACAGAAAAGAAAAGGTACAAAGCCACATGTGTCTGACTGCAGAGTCCATGATTTTATGACTTTAAAGATCCGCTTGTCCTGTGAGCAAAGGACAAAACTGAGAGCCAGTTGAAGATAGTCACATGCCATGTATTTAATGGCAACACCAAGACTCAGGTTCACGATCATTACTCACTGCTTCTTCCAGGATGATTACACCGTTGTGGCTGGTCTTACAGGAAGTGACGGATGTTGATGTATCATGAAGAACCTGGGGATTTTAACCACAATGGTAGAAAGTAAAAAATAAATAAACTAAAATAAAAAAATATTTTTAAAAATATAAAAATGCAAAACCAAACAAAAGAAAAATGAAGAAAAACTTTTGCTGGATTAGGGTCATTGGAGATGAAAGGAAACCTATGAGATCTTCTGATTCTGGTTCAGCCATGATACACTTGGGCATGGACCTGGTCTGCTCCCCCACCTACTGACATCATTTGTTCCAACAGCCTGACCCACATTTCTTGAGACAATACCAGTATCATCATACTATTTTCTTATTATTTAATTACAGAATAAAAAATATACATGTTTTAGGGAATGATAGCTGCCATCACAGGAAAATGACATTGCTCCTGATATACTAAAATAATCAAAAAGGTAAAGAAACAGTAACAGCAATAACACAAAAAAACACGGTAAAACATCTTTTCTAGGAAATCCTTCTTAGCAAAATGAGACACAGCAGTGCTTGCATCTCATGCCAGCTTTGTTGTAGGTTTCCTTATCGTTTTATGTTCAGTGCCCATTTATTCAGTTAATGTTGATTGAGAGTTTTTCAAATGCTGGGTACAGGTGTAGTTTCAAGATCTTTAAAAAAAATGGTAGCAGTGAAATTACTTTGTAGTTGATATTACTGACGACATAATTAATGAAAAAAATCTCATTTTTTTATTGACTAATCTGCAAGAATGCAAAAAAAAATAAACATGGTAAGGCACTTTCATGTGTCCTTTGATGTATGCAGAATTGTCCTGTCTGTTTTATAGAACTTGTTTAAGATTTTACAGTTGAATGTTCAAGTGGGATTAGAACTCAGTTTACTCTTTTTATTTCAGTAACTTGTAGAAAGCTCATGCTGTAAGAGAATCTTACTCTTTTTTCCCCTTTTGCATCCTGTCCTCCGGAGAGTCTTGTGCGCTTGCAATACATCCTCTTAACGCTTTCTATGCACCTGAAGCACAGCACAGACTCAAAAATGAATTTTTGGAATTTTGATTCATGACGATGACATATGTATCTTAAGTAGAAACTTACTACCAAACACTTATTTCTAGGTAAAATCCATGTAAGTTAGTGAATATAAAATCCAGTATGCCTTAGAGTATATATGAGACAAATGTCTTTCAGCGCAGTGGTAACTGATGGGTTATCACCTGCTTGAAAGGAAAATTTCTGAAATCTCTATCTCCATATGAACCACTTTACCTTGAATCTCTACCTTGTCACCCAAACTGTAAGGTCCTCTTAACAACTGCTGTGTTATTTCTGCTGTAAACTTTCTATAGGTGATCCCCTAAATTTAGCAACTATGTCATATTTGCCGAGTAGAAGTGCTAAGTCTAGATTACAGATGTGTAAATATTTTTTTCATAAAAAGAAAATGAACCTTCTCTCAATTTTTAACTTCAGCTTGATTAAAGTCATGTTTTCAAATACAGATATGACTCCAGTGATCCTAAATAGGAATGCAATGTTATGTTTTTTTAATTTTTTTTGATACAATTTAGTTGGCAGTGGGCTCTCCCCTTCTTCTAACCCATATTCCCTCCCCTCCATTCTGTTCTTCCCTCTAGGTTCATAATGTCTGTCCATCGAGAATTTTCCCAAGCAGTGTTATGTTTTGTAATATATAGCTGTAGAGGAGAAGCTAAGGTATTAAAAAAATACCAGGCCCAGCACAATAGTCTAGTGATCAAATCCTTCTCTTGTATTTATTGAAATTCCATATTGCCACTAGTTCATATTCTGGCTGCTCCATCCAGTTCCTGGCTTGGCTTGTGTCCTAGAAAAGCAGTAGAGGATTGGCCCAAAGCCTTGGGACGCTGCACC